GTGCTTCTTGCCTGGATTACTTTGCAAGGCTGACAGAATATTTTATTGCCCTAGGATTTGCAATTGCTCCGGGAGCAGAAAATAGGTAGGGTTGCATTTTTTGCAAACTTTTATTGGGCATGAGTTTTGATTGACTTAGCATGTTTTTGGTGCAAACAAGTGAAGTTCAAGCAGTGAGGACTCCCGCAGGTGGGCTTCAAACTCCTTTCTAAAGCTTAGGAACAATCCTGTCTGGAAGTGCCCATTATTGCTTGCTCTTTCATGTGAATTATCCAATATTCCACATGAAATTACTGCAAAATTTTTCTAGGCCTCTTGTGAATATTGCATTATATACATTTCAGAGATTGCCCGAACAAAGGTAATTAATGAGTCAAAAGCTCATGTTAAACCTCAACAATTTCTGAACAGATTTTTTTTCCCCTAAAACCCAACACATTCTTGGTGATTAATTCCTAAAGGAAGAGGTGTTAATTTCCTCACCTATCTGAAAAGCCTCTTTCTAAACTCCAAAAGAGAAGGTGGCTTAGCCAAAGCTTATACCAACATGTGTCGACTCAGTTCTTAAAATATCCATCTATTCTTGATCTCTGTTGCTTATTCCCAAACTGATGCACCTCCTCTCAAATTAACAGGTGGAATCAGTTCCTTACTTATATTTGGCAGCAGTTGCATCAAAATAGGGTTCTCCTGCAAAAGAGATATAATCTTAGCTAAACCTGTGGTATTACCTGCCTAAAGACAGATAAAAGCAGTAGACATCCAATGGTATGCTGAATTACAACTCTGTAATTCATGAGCAATTGTAAAGCAGACCGAGAGTTATAGTTTAGCCCAGAGAGCTGCAACCTGCGGCTCTGGAGCCACATGCGGCTCTTTCAGCCCTCTGCTGTAGCTCCCTGTCAGCTGATCCCACCACTGGCTGGCCCTTCCCTTCCCCATCACTCCTTGCCTGGCCTGAGAAGGTAAGGGTGATGGTGGGGGATGGAGACTCGCTCCATATTCCAGAGCAGGAGGTGACTGAGTGGAAGGGAGTGGCCATGCCCACTCAGTCACATCGGTTGTTAAATTATTGGCTTCCGATGTTTTCTTTTCTGTGGGAAACAGGCCCAAATGACTCTTTGAATGTTTAAGGTTGCAAACCCCTGGTTTAGCCACATCAGAATGCTAGATTGATTACTCTGCCCCATTAGCTCTCGGTGAGACTTATAAATTCACTCCCTATTTCAGGGGTTCCCAACCTGGGGTGCTTGCACCCCCTAGGGGTGCGAGACGATATTCCAGGGGGTGCGAGAAAAGTCCAGGCAATTTTATTTATTTATTTATATTTGTTTATTTATTTATTTATTTATTATGCAATGGATTAACTTTGTTTTCATTTTAGAGTTAAGTATCGTTATTTAGTGGCCGTCACATACATAGCTGAAAAGATTCAATCCTACCATATATTTAATGCGTTCAGTACTTCCTAAAGTCTAAATTTCAGGGGGTGCGAGGTTCAAGTGAAATTTCTTTAAGGGGTGCAGGGTGAAAAAAAGGTTGGGAACCACTGCCCTATTTCCTTCCCCTGTGCTGCTATTCACAAACTTGCTACAAGAAAGAGAAATTGACCAAAGTAGCTTACCACAGAAAGATAGTGAATGATCCCGGAAGCAGATCAGCTTGGTGATCCGTATTACCTCAGTGAGTTTTGTTGTGCATACCAGTGTTCTCATTTATATTAACAGCTCCCTTAGGCTTGCTTTCCTTGTCCTCATAAGAATAGTAAGAATAAAATATTGCAGGAGACCAAAGACTGCAAAACAAATCATGGCTGTCATGTCACACCAACTTTTGTTTGTAAAAATAATAACAGGAGACAAATAAACAACTCAAGGCAGTCAACATATCGCTAGTGGCCTCGTAAACATATGTTGGCTGTCACTGGGAAGCCTGGTGGTACCACTAGACCTGGCTACCTTGGGCAAGGCGACAGTGCCTGACTGCATCATAGCCAGGAGACCCTCCACCTGCCAATCTTCCAGCAGTCAATGTTTTCTTTTGTTCTGCCATCTTACCTGGGAACAGCAAAGATGGAAAGAAACAAAGCAGAACTTTTTTCTCCTACTTCATAAGTGTAAAGAAAAGTCAGGGCATGCTGAGATAAGTGCCTTTTGCATCTTACATCCTGGTTTCCCAGGTAGCACCTGCTTAGGAGGTCCTCCATCACAATGTAAAGTCATTCGCCTCCCCAACCCCCAAATCTGATTGATGAGTTGATGTGGCCAAGGCATAATTTGAGAGGTGGGGCTAGTCTAGACTATGCAAATCTAACAGTGGTGGGATTCAATTTTTTTTACCCTACTGGTTCTGTGGGCGTGGCTTGGTGGGTGTGGCAGGGGAAGAATACTGTAAAATCTCCAGTCAGAGGTGGTATTTGCCGGTTCTCTGAACTACTCAAAATTTCCACTACCGGTTCTCCAGAACTGGTCAGAACCTGCTGAATGCCACCTCTGAAATCTAAAGGGTCAAACTGCTGTTGTCTTTAAGATGTTGGTCCTGTTTGGAGATGGTAAATTTGAGTTAAATGGATTCAAATCAGTCGAAAGAAAACTAAACGTTTCAGTAGGTTTTGGGCCTCCATTTTGCTCCCTGGGGATAACCAGCTTTCTTATATAAATCATTTAACTTATTGTCTCTCACAATTGAAGTATAAGTAGTCCTCGACTTACAACAGTTCATTTAGTGACCATTCAAATTTACAACCATTAAAAAGTGACTTATGACCATTTTGCACACTTATGACCATTGCAGCATCCCCCATGGTCATGTGATTTACATTTGGAGGCTTGATAAAAGACTCACACAGGCAGCTTCGCTGGGTTATGTGATCCCCTTTTGTGACCTTCTGACAAGCAAAGTCAATAGGGAAGGCAGATTCAACAACCATACAGATAATCAGAGTTGGAAGGGACCTTGTAGGTCATCTAGTCCAACCCCCTGCCCAAGCGGGAGACCCTACACCATTTCTGACAAATGACAGTCCAATCTCTTCTTGAAAGTCTCAAGTGATGGCGCTTCCACAACTTCCGAGGGCAAGGTGTTCCATTGGTTGATTGTTCTCACTGTCAGAAAGTTTCTCCTTATTTCCAGGATGAATCTCTCCTTGTTCAGTTTCCATTGTCTGGCCTACAGGCGCTTTAGAAAATAGCTTGACCCCTTCCTCTCTGTGGCAACCCCTCAAATATTGGAAGACTGCTATCATGTCTCCCCTGGTCCTTCTCTTTACTAGACTAGCCAAGCCCAGTTCTTGTAACCATTCTTCATGTGTTTTAGTCTCCAATCCCCTAATCATCCTGGTTGCTCTTCTCTATACTTTTTTCTAAAGCCTCAACATCTTTTTTATAATATGGTGACCAAAACTGGATGCAGTACTCTAGGTATGGTCTTACTAAGGCTTTATAGAGTGGTATTAGTACTTCCCTTGATCTTGACTGTATCCCTCTGTTAATACAACTTAGGATTGCATTAACTTTTTTGGCAGCTGCGGCACACTGCTGGCTCATACCGTGTTTCTCCAACAATATGGCCTCCACCAATAGGAAGGCCCAGCATGATTTCTAGGCATGAGGTGAAATTAAGCCCCGCCCCCAAAATTTAGGCCTATTTAAATCATGCGTTTCCCCGCCATTTCTCACATCGTTCGTTAGAACTACATGGGGTGAAGAGAAATGGGCGGAGGAAGGGCGCGGGGGGATGGGGAGAAAACTTGCCTTCAGGAGTGCCTTGCAGGTAGCCTAGGCTAGAATACCCCGATAGCCGATAGAAGCTCCCTGAAGGCAGAGTCTCCAGTCGCTTCAGGGCGTGGTGTGGCTACCCGTGTCCTCTCGCCTTTAGGGCAGTCTCTTTCAGGCGTTGGAAGCTCCCCAAGTGCAGTCACCAGCCACTTCAATTGGCCGGTAGAAGCGGCCTCGGGGCGAGCGTGCGCACACACTCCCCTCGCTGCGAGGCCGCTTCTACTGGCCGATCGAAGTGGCTGGTAACTGCACTTGGGGAGCTTCCATCGCCAGAAAGAGACTGCCGAAAGGCGAGGGGACATGGGCAGCCACGCCTCGCCCTGAAGCGGCTGGGGACTCTGCCTTCAAGGGAGCTTTCATCTGCCGATAGAAGTGGCCTCGTGGCAAGGGGAGTGTGTGTGTGTGTGTGTGTGATCACCCCGAGGTCGCTTCTACCGGCCGATCAAAGTGTCTGGTGACTGCATTTGGGGAACTTCCATCGCCCGAAAGAGACTGCCTAAAGGCGAGGGGACACGGGTAGCCACGCCACGCCCTGAAGTAGCTGGGGACTCTGCCTTTGGGGGGCTTTCATTGGCCGATAGAAGCGGCCTCGCGGCGAGGTACATGCGTATGGGCCACTCTAGGTGGGGGAGGAAATTAAGTCACCCCCCAAAAGACAGCCTAGCTGTTTTTTCAGGGGTCAAAAAAAAATAAGGCCCGGCCTTATTTTGTGAGAAACACGCTATTTAGCTGGTGGTCCACTAAGACTCCAAGATCCCTCTCACAGTTACTACTATTGAGCCTGGTTTCACCCAGTCTATATGTGTACTTTTGGTTTTTCTTGCCAGCCATGTTGCTAACTGAACAACTGCAGCGAGTCACTTAGCAAATGTGGCAAGGGAGGTCATAAAATGGGGCAAAACTCACTTAACAATCTCACTTAGCAACAGAAATATAGGGTTCAATTGTGGTCATAAGTAGAGGACTCCCTGTAGATGGCTCATCAGATATCCTTGACGAGGAAAGGTGGGGGAGAAACAAGAGGGTGGCTGCATTAAGTGTGATTAAAACCCTGTCTTTTCTGTACACACACCGACATACATTTACAAAGACGATGGCGCATCCACTGTGTAGGCGTGCTGCCGTTTTCACTTCCTTGCCTCTTCTCCCCCATGCTGTTCCTTAAATCTCACACACTTTCAGCCAAAGGTTATTATACACAGCCTTTCTTTTTTATTGATAATAAATAATACAATATACAACAAATAATGATAAAGCTCCCAGGCAAAATAGATTCTTCTTTTGCAGAAAAACAATAGTTGGGCATGGCCTGTTCCCTCCAAAATTAAGTTATAAAGCAGACAAGTGTGTAACATTTGTTCTGGACTTTTAAGTGAAGAATGAGGGGGCTTTCCCCCCTCATAAAAGGTGGTAGACTTTCTTAAAATTCAACTTTTGGTTTGGCCTTTCCTCACATTCCCTTGAAGTGAACCACCTCCGTTGTCACTCAGGGAACTTTCTCTTGGTCTTTAGGCCTCCAGATAAGATTATCTTTCTCTGCAAATAGATCGGCCCCGCCCCCCAATCAGGCACTCATTGAGCTCAAATTAGTTTATTTAAGATTTCTAAGTGGAGAAGGAGTCTTCCCCCTGCCCTATATATCAATTTCCTAAGGTCCACCAGAGAACCCTTTTGAAGCCAATTTAATTTTGTCCACATGGACGTTATCTGGTCCTGATCTTTCTCCAGAGCACTAAGAAAAATCATATCGTTCTCATTCTGGGGAGAATTCTTTCTAAAATTATCCGCATTCTTTTGTGGAGGGCAGGGGGGGGGAGGGAATCCATTTGGTGTTACCCTGAGGCGGGAAAGGGAGAGTGAAATGGTGACTCATCAGGTATTATAAGTGCATCACACTCCCGTGTTATTGCACCTTCCTATGCTGCTTCTCTGTCTGTATCTGGAATCCCAGCACATTGTTGTCAGCTATCAGAGCCAATTTCCATCTACTGCTATTGGTTCTACTCCTGGTCCCATTTCTACCAATTAATTGCACTTCTGATCTCCCCCGTTGACTTGATCTAATGATGGCAACTCTCCACTCTCTGCTCCTTCTCTCTCAGCATCAGAAACATGGAAGAATTGAGTCAGGATAACCTAAATGGCTATGGGAGATAGACTGAGCTCCATTGAACAGCCCTGAAAGGATTTTTGTCTGTTGCTTTGGGGGATCTATGTAAGATGGAAATTAAGCCAAAGCAAGGAACTTTGATGTGCTCTATTCCCTTTGAACCCTGAAATCACTTGAGGAAGGGAATAGCTAAAGGCATTTCCTGAGGACGCTTGCTTCCCTTGGCATTCTATGAAAAGAAAACCATTTATGGATCTTAAAGTACTACCTTTTTTTTTAAAGATTTGCCTTTCGGGGACTTCCTATAAATCCTCACAGGCTTCAGTGCAAAGCTGCTGTCAGTTTTTCCCTCTTTCACAAGCCAACCACAGCAGCCTTCAGCCCAGGGTTTCGCCTCATATTTTGGCTGCCTTAAATATTAAGATTAAAGATATCCTACGCATCTCAAAACAAGTGACAAATATTGATGCCTAGATGAGATGAGCTCAAGTCACTGTGCTCCACCCCCACCCCACCCCCCAAAAATGTCTGGAGCATATCAATAAACCTATAGTGGCAAATTCTGGACTCCTGCCATGAAGTCAGATGTCAATATTTAAACAAATGACTGTGCCCTGTTGTGAAAAAAAAATGTGGATAGAACAGTCCTGGAGCACATCCAGATTTTTGTACTCCCAGGACGTGAAGGTCCTGTCCTTGTCTGATTTTTGCTGTTTGAATGAGCCACGTTTTCTCATGCACTCACATACATGCAGCCGCGGGTTCAAGACAGTTATTTAGGCAAGTATTTAGACTCTTCAGGTCCAGGGCACTGGGGGAAGTTTCTTGGGCTTACAAGATATGCAGTGAGTGTTTATCATCATGCAAGCCATCAGGTTCCTTCTCTCCCTCTCCTTCTGATCGTCTTTGTTTATGGAGAAGACATTTCCATGCTTTTCTCTTTCTCTTCCCACTCTTCCTCTGACTCGTAAGTACCTTTGATGATGGCCACTCTTTCAGACATATTCATTGAGTGAGGAAGCAGAAGGTAGTTGTACAACAGAGAAGCTAGAATGCCTCCAGAAATGGGTCCAACCCAGAACACCTAAAAAACCAATACAAGGATTTAGTTAAAGACTTTCAAATTTTCCCAGCTAAGCCATAGCACAGGTAATACATTTACTGCATTGGTGGGTTTGTTTAAACCCGGGTTTTGGTTAAATGGGACTGAGTAGGTTTGGTAGGTTCTGAAATGCTATTCATTATTTTAACAAGTTGTGTGAATCAGAATATCACATTAAGACATAATAAAATTTGTTTTGACCTAGCATATTATGTGAAACAGCCTATTTCATAATGCTTCTGAATTTCAGAAAGATTGAATTGTTTCTGCTTGTACAAAATCTCAGTGACTTTTCAGAAGCTAGTATGAAATGTATCTGGGTAGCGATGTATATATCCATTCCTTGATGGTCTTCTGATTCTTATGAAATTTACATCAATTTGAAGGTTCTTTTTTATCAAAGCACAAAGACAGACAAACAAAAACACAATTTCCAAGGAAGGAAATAACGTTTCAGTGAGATTTGTGGTGATGTCATGGGCTTCTGCATTTCATGGCTTTTTCAGCTCACATTTTAAGAATCACACTTTCAGCTGAGATATGAACATGTGAGACTAGAGACACAGAAATCCTGTTCTGTTACGAATGTTATTGAATTTTTGGCTCAACATGGTTGCAAAGCAGAAGAGAATAATGCTATTTTTTAAAAAAAAATTTCTGGGTTTTATATTGAGTTATATATTAGATCATGATGTTACTGATCTGGAATAGACCATAATCCAACTCCATTTCTACTTAGTGCAAGAATCCATTTCTTATGATTTGGAAACAATATTTCTGTTGACCAACCCTCACCTTGACAAACTACAACATCAAGGTCCTTTTTATATGTAATGTTATTAAGGTAGGTATTGCCCACGCTATACCTGTGGATTTTTTTTATTTTTAATGAAGAACTTTGCATTTATCTGTATTAAATTCCATTCTGTTCTTTTCATTCCACTTTTCTAACTTATTATTATATCTTGGATATTCTATTTTCTTCAGTATTAATTATCCTTCCGAGTTTTATGTCATCTTCTAACTGAATAAGCATTCCTTCCTCTAGAAAGCTGCCATTAAGAATATGGTTCAATCCATTTCATTTTGATTACTGTGAGCTATGCTATGATAAATCCACTTCTTACCCAGTGAGCAGAGGTAAATCTTTTCATGACAACCGCAGGTCCAAAAGACCTGGCAGGATTCATAGAGCAGCCAGTGAAATAGATCTATAGAGGAGAACAAGAAAATAGGTTAGGCATATAAAATTCCCTTGCCACTTCAAGGCGGAGTTTTCTAAGAATCCGTCTGATCCCTCTCCTGGAAGATCCTTCAGCTACCACTTATCTTGCCATATATTAAAGGAAACCTGGTTTTTTGTATCACAGCAGCCAAATATTAAAAGGCGTCCCGTAGATCCTGCTCCCAGCACCAGTCATGGAGAACACAAAAGGTCAGGCAATACAAATCAAGGAAGAGTCATTGTTTAAGAGGGATTTTGGCACTTCCATTGGTGGCTGGATGCTACAGACAGAGGCTTTACCATCTTTGCTGAGATTTGGAGGAAAGACAGCCAACATAAAGTTCAACACAGGCACTAAAGGGATTGTGAGGACTGAGTGTTTTGAATTTGGTTAATTACACCACTCACAAAAGCTTCTGATCACAACTTGGGTTTCCAGCTCTTTGGGTTGCCTGGGCTGCATTGAGTGAAAAGGAATTGTCTTGGGTAAATTACATAACACAGTATGGTATTAATAACAAACTTTTTAAATATTCTTTTTATTGTGAGGCCATTTTACTAGTTGTCCAGGATGTACAGTATGTGGCCTGCAGGTTGTGGGTTGGAAACGCCTGGCCTCCGGTGCCTACAGTAGATCCTAAGTTTGTTCTGAAATTCTGTGCCTTAGAATTGGGATGAAGTTATCCTATTCGCAGAAAACCACCATATTTCTAATGGTTCTGTTTTGCAGAAAAGATTGTAGCTACAGATGTCTTATTCCCCTGGAGTTCACACACAAGCTGCTTGCACAGGAGGACAAACAGACTGTAATAGTTAGAGCACCTTATGATCTGAGGGTGGTTACCAGCCAAGAGTGGCAATGATGAGTCCTACGCTCCTTTCATTTGCTCCTTTCTTTGGCTTTTGCACAATGTGCACCAACAACACTTACCCCCACCAGACAGCCCAGGGTGACTGACAATCCAATGGAGAGAGACGGAGATCCCACTTTGTCATTTCGGCGGTTGTCGGTTGAGGCAAAAATGCACAAGACAAGCTGGAAAGTCAGGATAATCTCCACGACCACAGCCTGACCTGCTGTTGTGTTGTTGCTAAGCTATTTGAAGAAAAAGGACACAGGTTTAGACTTTAATCTGGTATGTTCTTGTCAAGAAGTCATTTTTGCTAAAAATCAAAAGGAATTGTGAATGCCGCGAAACAGAGCTTTGTGACTGTGTTGTAATTGAAATTTTTTGATATGTGATCTGCAATTAATTCTGCATAATGGCTTTTCTTGTGTCACTGGGGAGTGGTGCTCCTTAATCTCAAACAAACAATTCCATTTGCCAAGTTTCAGCAGCGGTATGAGATTAGAGACACCTTCCCAAAAGAGCAAGCTAAGAGGCTTAAAAAGCTCTGCAAAAAAAACCAGAGCATGGTTCTTTGGGCGTTAAGAATGATTTCATAAAATCTCTTTCATATAGTGTCTTGGTCACAGAAATTAAGCCTGGTCTCCTTCATCCCATCTGGAATATTTTCCTTTGGATAATGTTGTATCTATGTCAAATGGCCTCTAAAATCATTGAGGCTTGTTGAAGATAACAAAAGGAAAGATAAGAGATTGTTCAGTAATTTGGAATAGATTTAAAGTTTCTTTTGGGTAATTGGAGGTATCCTGACTTTTACATGGGCCCTGATATCATACTTAACACAAGAGTCTGCATTATTTGACTTAGAAAAGACTGTTGTTAATATACTTCATTTTAACTTCCATTGTGGATTTACATATATCTTTTTATCACCTAAAGCAATGCTTACTTTAGTTGGGGTCATAATGCAAATAGAAAGCTTTCACGGGGCAAGAGGCTCTCAGTTCTCTCTCCTTAGGTTTTTCTTCTAATAGCTGTAATTAGACAATTGATGCAATATCTACCAGTAAATCATTGCGATAGTAAGTGCTGATGAAGTAAGAAGTGATGGAGAAATAAAAGGGAGAAATAAAGAGAGAAATAAAAGCCGGTTTGACTTAGTGGTTAAGGTACCAGACTAGAAACCAAGGCTTGGGGAGTCCTAGTTTTGCTTTAACATGACAACCGGCTGGGTGATTTTGGGCTAGTCACTTTCTCTCAGCCCAAACCACTTCACAGGACTGTTGTGGGGAAAATAGGAGAAGGAAGGTATATTAGGTATTGGACACCTTGAATTATTTACAAAAATAATAGAGTGGTCCTTGGGAAAAACATGGAATAAGGGGACATTGTCCATAATCTGAAATCATGGCATAGTTCTGAATAGAAGCGGTCTCAAATTCTATTGTAATTCTTAGAGAAGAGACCTGAAATTCCCACTTGCATTTAACAAGGGAGGTTTTATGGGTGTTGCAAATTATTTCCATTTTGCTGCAAAGAAAACTTAAATGTGTCCCTGCAGTCACCAAGAGCCAAACAAACCTTGAGATTTGCTTTTACATGGTCCTTCAAATATTATCGCCGTGCTGTTTTCTATATCTTTTTTGTCCAGCTCTAATAGTGTTTCTCACAAGCTTCCCAGATTGTCTGTCTAATTTATTATGATGAAATCTTGGATTCAATGAATTTAATGCTGCCCTGGAATGTTTTCCAGGGATCTTGAGATAGGCCTGTTCTACATGTTTGTAGCTGTCCATGACCGTCCTTTTCTGTTCAAAGCCCTCAGTCCTTGCATTGACCCGAAATTGATTACCCTGATTATCCAAAGATACTTTTCAGGAGGCTTGGAGGAACATTATAGTAAATGATACGTATGTGTATGCTTGTGTACATGCATGTAAATCCTAGGCACCCATTCTTTTGATGCCTTTCCAAGAACACACACGTCAACACGCACAAATTTGCACCAAGTCTGAAATTACTGGGAAAAGTTTTTCAAAAGGAAAACAATGAATCTTTAATAAGCAACCAATAACTCTAGGTAGATTCTTTACGCTGTTCCCGCTGATCCTTTGATCGATGGCAGTGATTGAGCTAATGCATTGCTTGCTTTCCTTTTTAAACCGATTCACTCATCCTCTTAGGATATGGAGAAATTTGCAAAGAGCTCTGCCTTGTAAATAGCTCCATGCATGCTAGCAAAATTCTAGGGCCAAGGATAACAGAACATTTCCCTCTTACGTTCCATCTGTTGTACCACCTGCTCTTTGAGAATGGAAAAGACACTCTTGCACCAGTTTCCAGGAACAGAATAGCTGCTACTTCTTTTCCCCTGAGAAGCAAATTTTCCTTGGACCTGCCTGAGAATTCCTCCTACTGATTACTGGACCCCACCACCACCTTGTGAGAGATGTACTTACCCCATTGGCTGCCAGATTACCACGGGCATTGGAGGGAGTCACTCCATAAAGGATGCCTGCACCAGCAATGGCCCCCAGCAGCTGAGCCACGATGTAAAACAACATCCGGAGGAAAGAGATCTGGTTCCCAACGAAGAAGGCGATGGTGACCGCTGGGTTGATATGACCACCGCTGATATGACCAAAGGTCTGTACCATTGTTGCAATTGCCAAGCCAAATGTCAGGGAAATCTGAAGGACACTTGGCAAGGCCGATGGCCACTTCAAGGCTGAGCCCAAACCAAAGAACACAAAAATCATGGTTGCCAAGAACTCAGTGAAGACGGCGCGGAGAAAAACAATGGTGCAGACTTCTTTCCTCATGGCTGGGCTGGAGCTGGTGGACTGGCGATGATAAGGCCAAAGATGTAAAAGGATTGTCCAAAAGTTTGTGCCATGCAGATATATGTATATATATATATATATCTTTCTCTCTGTAGGTGTAGCAAGAAGGGATTGTGCCCAGGTGTGGGTGGAGCCAAGAAGGTGGCCAGTCCCCTCTTCTACTTGCTCTTCTGCAATTTGGAAACTTTCCATCTTCAAGCAAGGTCTAAGGCTAAGCTTTTTCCCTGTTTGCAAGCTCCAATTTGGATGCTAATTTCCTTATTTTTATCTCCACACAATGGAGCTCTGTTGAATGGCCTTGCTGTCATGAGATAGCCCCAGCATTGCATAATGTCATACAGATTAGCACCTAGTCTGTTTACTCTGCCCCTTCCCAGTCACTTTTCCTTTTCTAAGTACCTTTGATTTGTAACCTTAGGCTTTTTTGTTTTTAAAGGAATTTGTTTTGTTTTTTTCCACAGCATTTGGATTGTGGCACCTTTGGTCTACTTCTTCTTTAATCCTTTTTTTTAAAGGAAAGTCCTTGGACAATTGTAGTGGGCAGCTTTGCCAAACTGGATTCTTTGGGAAAGGAATATTCCCCCACCCCCAAATGAATTCTTTCCAGAGGAAAGAAACTGGAGAACCTGAAAGCCAGACCATGCCCTCATGTGCTGATTTCTCCCCAGGCTAGAGTTCCCAAGGAAGCTGGTGAATCGGGTATAACTAAAAAAGAGAGTTCTTTGGCACAGAAAACCTGAAATCAAATAGATTTCAGGTTTTCTGCAGCAAAGAGCTCTTTTTATAACTATACCTGATTTGACAAGAATGTTCTTGATTTACAACCAAGGGAATGCTGCATCAGGAGTGCCGGTGCTTTACAGTTTAATTGGCCCTTTCTGGTATATTTCTCAGCAAATATCTTCCAATTGAGTTTCTTTAAACCTATGATAGATCTATTTGTTTAGTAGATGGTTATCCTACCTTCCCTTCAGGAACTCAAAGAAATTACACTTTTTCCTCCAAAAGCTGTGGTGGACACATGCAGACTTGGTTTGGATTAACTGCCATTGCTCCTGGCCGAATCTTGTTTTATTTCACAGTTGTTATTTGCATCAACAGTTATTATCTGTCTCATCTGTCTTTTGAGTTAGGTTTGATGGACTTTCCATTTTGCAAGTAAAAAAAACAAAAAACCCAACAGCAACAGTCTGAGAGACAGAAAAGCAGCAAAACCTTTACTCAGTTGTCTGGGCATGGGTTTGCGTGCTCAGGGCAACTGTCTGGATTGAGGGTTTGTCCTCAAGTCCAGCCACTGCTATGGGGTGCACAAAAATGAATGCAAAATAAAATGAAAATGCCACAGGTCAAGAGGGTCTGCAAAAAGATTACCATTGGCCCATATTAATTTTTAAAGCTAGGCAATGCTCCCTGTCTCAATGGGAGCCATGTAACCAGCTTCCATATTATGTTTTTCCATAGCAAACACACAAACACACACAGGACCTGTTTTCCATTAGAATCTTAAGAATGAGAGAATTGTTGCTGGGAGCTGGTCTGATAACACTTTCCTGGCAAGGTTGCTTTAACTCAACTTGAGAAGAAGCTGGCAGCCTGCTGACAAATACATATCTGCGCAGGCTTGGTTTGCCATTATAATCTTCCAGGTGTTGTGCTTGTGGGTACACCTACAAAGGCAAATAAACAGTGCTATTTCTCTGTGCATGAACGCATATGTCAGCTTTAACTCTACTTGAGGTTGCACTGTTTATTTGCCTTTGTAGGTATACCCACAAGCCCAACTCATGAAAGATTATAATGGCAAACCAAGCCTGCACAGGTATGTATTTGTCAGCAGGCTGCCAGCTTCTTCTCAAGTTGAGTTAAAGCAACCTGTTAAAGCAACCTGTCTGTGATATGAGCACACATACACAAAAAAGGATGTGGGTCTTCGCAGGAGGGACAGAGGCAGCCTTATGAATGTGGGTATTAGTCTCAACTACAGTTTCCTCTCTAAAGATATTCAGCAGCTCATTGATTCCTAGGAAGTGATGGAGGAGCAAACATGGAAGAAAGATTGGAGTATTTGATGAGAACTTGAATCATCTTTTCCTTGGAACAGCTTACATCTTACATCAACAATATCTGCCTATCACAGGCTCTTGGGAAGAACTTGATAGGTAAATAAAAGTGTCAGATGTAGTCTAAACATCTGGCTGACTGTGCGACAGACTATAATCCCCATATAATTAAAACCACAATATGTGTAAATTAATAATTTAATAAATATCTTTAATTAAATAATCCATATAACATTGATAGTAATTATATATTATATTATTTAATACACGACCCCAAAAGAACTGGAGCACCACTTGAACAGCATTGGCATCGACAAAATTGTCATCAGTCAATTGCAAAAGGCAGCTTTACTAGAACAGTTTATATCTTGCAATGATATCTGTAACACCATCCGTTATCCACATCTGACTATCCCAGGTCTTGGGAAGGACTCAGTCAGTGGACAAAAATATCAAATCTAGTCTAAACATCTGGCTGGCTGTGTGAACAACCATAATAATAACAACAGCAAAGCAGCCTTTAAATACTTTAAACAAACTGAGTTGAAATTAATTATCAAGTAACCAAAAATACATAAATATATACCTAATGCATGCCATAGATTCGCCTTCACAGATCTATTCTAATAAATACCTCATTTGGGATCTGTGACATTTATGGATCTTGAGAGAAAGAAACTCCATCAGTCAAGTTTCACCCTGATGCCATTTCAACTCAGCATGAAATTACAGTGTAGAGTGGCATTTCCTGTCCAAAACCATTTTCTATACCTGTGAGCTGAGAACTTCTACAGAATTTGTCAGATGCAGATGTATCTGGTTTATTGTTTTATTTAGAATTACTGATGGCCAGATCTTTGGACCCCCAACCTACCTCATAAGGCTTGTATAAATCCTCTTGAAACATATTCAACCCAATTCGAGGTGGCTTATTGTGCCAACTCAGAAAGTCCAAACTGCCCAAGGGGCTGCTGATACAGTTTTACAGAGGAATTATTGAATCTGTCATCCACACCTCTATAACGGTCTGGTTTGGTTCTGCAACCCAACAGGACAGACACAGACTCCAGAGAGTAATTGGGACTGCAGAAAAAAAACCATTACTACCAACCTGCCTTCAACTGAGGACCTGTGTACTGCACAAGTCAAAAAGAGAGCTGTGAAAATATTTATAGACCCCTCACATCCTGGACATAAACTGGTTTGACTCCTACCCTCAAAATGGCACTATAGAGCACTGCACACCAGATCAACTGGACACGAGGACACCATCACTCTGCTAAACAAATAATTCCTTCAACACTGTCCAACTATTTACAAAGTCTGCACTGCTATTACTATTAATCTTCTCATCACTCTTTATCACCTATCCCCTCCCACTTGTGACTGTATTACTGTAACTTTGTTGCTTGTATCCTTACGATTTATATTGACTGTTTCCTAGTATGATTTGATTGCTTATTGTACCCTATGACTATTATTAAGTGTTGTACCTGATGATTCTTGACTGTGATGAATGTATCTTTTCTTTTATGTACGCTGAGAACATTTGCACCAAGACAAATTCCTTGTGTGTCCAATCACACTTGGCCAATAAAGAATTCTACCTACTCATATCAGTGATAAACTGGATGAAGAAGAATAAAAATTATAAGATCTGGACTTAAAACATGAGAAAATGTCTTTCAGGGAAAATTGTCCTTCTTTCTTAATGGAGTACGTAGGAAGGGTAAGAAATCCTGATTCATAAATTATTGGGAACAGTTACGTTGTGTGTTTTAATTATTTTAAATACTATAAAACATTGGTATAATAATGGGAAGACAAAGAAACACAAACAACTGTAAAAAAAGTGAAGCAAAAAATAAAACTAGGGGAATTTGGGCTATTACTAATCTATACATTAGGTATAGTATGGCTTAGATTATTGAAAAATGATAGAGACCTATAAGGAGAAATTAATTTAATGATAACAAATAGATCATGATGTATTTTTGGAAATTTGAACATAATTTTGTCAACACCACTCTATCATAAAATTAAACACATTATATATGAAAATATTCTACTGTTGATACCTTGTGATTTGGGGAATTAAATAATCTTCTCTAATCCGCCCATGACTAACCGATAAACATGAGACATGAATCATTAAATGAATAGATGGGAAAAATATAAAAGGGGAACTACTCAGAAACAATTTTAGCTCTCCAAAAAACAACTCTTTTGCAAATTTGATTGAAAGAAGCAATTGGTTTACAAGCACAAAAATAGTAGTTCTTTGGAATAGAAATGTATTGCTAGTATATGTCGATGTGTGTGAATTGGGTAGCCATACAAATTTGTTTAATAAACAATAAACTTTAACAAATGTGAATGTTATGCTATGTATTAAGCTGTTGAACTGATCTTTTGGAACAGATTTGGCAGTGATGTATTAGATTTTTAAGAGTATTTTTGTTAGAAAAGAGAAGAGGAAAACCTTTTGCTGCAGAGAATGATTTAAAGATAAATTATTATATTTGTAAGACTCCATTAGACATGTCCCAAGGAAATTTGACAGTGTATTACAAAAATGATGTCTGGTAATTTGTATGTTAATGGCTTAGCTAAAGAGCTTAACTAAACAGTGTGATGTTACAACATTCCTTTTTTTAATAGAGAACAATTGCTCTTAAGCTTCTCTTTCAAGAGGCTTGGGGGAATATAAGAAAGTTTTAAAAAACCCTCTTTAAACACAACTTCAATACCAATGCTTTATAATGGAAATTTAGACCCTGGGACCAAATTCATACAGCCTGCTGAGATCTAATGTATTCTTTTGTTGTGTGTTTGACTAGGATGTTGTATGGGTCCAGCCATGGTTTATGGCTGAACACGTTTATGTTAAGGATTAATCTCTGAGGGCTGAAATGTTACACAAGTACAACAAATGTTAGTTTATTCCATACATTGTGGAAAAGCAAATCACCCTTTCCACATTTTGTTGAACTCAAGCCCACTGTTCTTTAGCTGCACTGAATTCCACAAGCAT